CTACATACATTTGGGAATTTTAAATGGTGCAGCCACTGTGGAAAAAAAATTTAATAGTTCACAAAAGAATTAAACATAAAATTACCATATGGCCCAGCAATTTCACTCCCAGGTATTTATGAAAAATAACTGAATACAAGTATTTAAACAAAAGCATGTGCATGAATGGTCATAGCAGCACTATTCACACTAGCCAAAACATGGTACCAACCCAAGTGTCCATCAGCAGACAAATGGATAAGCAAAATGTGATGTATCGTGGCTGGGGATGTGGCTCAAGTGGTATCGCGCTCGCCTGGCATGCGTGCGGCCCGGGTTCGATCCTCAGCACCACATACAAACAAAGATGTTGTGTCCGCCGAAAACTAAAAAATAAATATATAAAAAAAATGTGATGTATCCATGCAATAGAATACTATGCAACTATAAAAAGGAATGAAGTGCTTGTAGCCAAATTATTGAATCAACCCAGATGCCTGTTAATAGATGAATGGATCAAGAAAATGTGAGATGCATACATACATACATACACACACACACACAAAAAAAAAAAAAAAAAAACACAATGGAGTTTTACTTAGCCAAAAGAAGAATGAAATAATGGCATTTTCCAATAAATGGATGGAAATGGAGAACGTTATGTTAAGTGAAATTAGCCAGACTCAGAAAGTCAAGGGTTGAATATTTTCTCTCATATGTGGAAGCCAGAGCAAAATAAGGGAAAGAAGAGGGAGCAGGGGCAAGAGTGGATCAAATATCATAAAGACACAGAGATCATCCGTGGAGTAGGAGGAGAACAAGAGGGAAGGGGGAAATGTGGAGTGAATCGTGTTACATTCACACCAACGTACCAAAGGAACATCTCCTTCATGTATATGTAGGAAGTACCAATCAGAAATCAGTAACTAGGAGCTGGGATTGTGGCTCAGCAGTAGAGCGCTCGCCTAGCATGGGCGGGACCCGGGTTTGATCCTCAGCACCACATAAAAAATAAAGGCATTGTGTCCTATTTTCTCACTTATCTTCAGAATAAAATGAGGAAAATATTTCTATCCCTAAAATATATACATTTAATTTTGAAGGCCTTTTAGAATGACATTTTTAGATAGACTATAATTTGATATTGATAAAAACAAATTGCTTTACCCTTAAAATATTTGGAGTATCATAGACATTTAAAATGAGGTTTGTGCCAAGCATGATGGCACACACCTGTAATCCCAGTGGCTTGGGAGGCTGAGGCAGAAGGATTTTGAGTTCAAAGCCAGCCTCAACAAAAGCAAGGAGCTAAGCAACTCAGTAAGACCCTGTCTCTAAATAAAATACAAAATAGGGCTGGGATATGGTTCAGTGATTGAGTGCCCCTGAGTTCAATCCCCAGAAACCATCTGCCCCCCAAAAAAAGGTTTGTGAGGAATCTGTAGCCTTGGGTTTGATCCCCAACACTGCAAAAAATAAAGTTCTAGCCATACTCTATACCTCAGCATCATATACAAAACCAAACTTAAAATAGATAAATCTAAAAAAGTGATAAATCAGCCTTTAAAATAAGTCATGCCACAAACTATAAGACCCTTATCAAAATGTACAAAAATAAAAATATAAAATGTAAATTAAAAATGCAAATTTAAAAAGAAGAAAATACTTGCAAAGTCAGTATTTGGGCAAAGGTGTTATATCCAAAATATACAAAGAACACCTCAAAACTCAGTAATAAAAACACAATTTTTAAAATGGACACAAGTTCTGAAGACAGTTCTCCAAAGATATATGGATGGCAAATAAGCACATGCAAAGAAATCCAACATCACCAGTCACTAGGGAAATGCAAAATAAAGCCAGATACCACTACACATCTGTCAAAAGAGCTAACATTAAAAAGAGTATGCGGGGGTGGGGGGCAAGGGTTGTGGCTCAGCAGTAGAGCCCGCGCCTAGCACATGCAAGGCGCTGAGTTCAAACCTCAACATCACATAAAAATAAATAAAATAAATGTATTCTGTCCAACTACAACTAAAAATATTTTAAAACAGAAAAAGAAAAAGAACATCCAAGCCAGGTATGGTGGTACATGCCTGCAATCCCAGCAACTCAGGAAGTTGAGGCAGGAGGACTGCAAGTTGGGAGGTCAGCCTTAGCAACTTAGCAAGGACCTATCTTCAAAGTAAAAAATAAATAAATAAAAAAGGACTGGGGATGTAGCTCAGAGGTTAAATCCCCTATATCAAAAAACTAAATAAAAAATAAATTCATACCAAACAATAAAAAGGATATGGAGGAACTGGTAAGAATGTAATAGCATAACCACTTTGGCAAAGTTTGGTACTACCTTAAAAATAATTGCATATTCAACTAGACCCAATATAACAAAAAGTAATAAACTACATGCAATTAGAGATGAATCTCAAAATTGTCATGTCTATCTACACCTAAAAAATAAATATTAAAAAAATCAATAACTAAGTGAGCGAAAAGAAAATCAGTACAGTAGAGGAGAATAGAAGTGAGGAGGAGGGGGGTGGTATGGGTACAGGGAATGGGGATTGAAATCAATTCCTTGGGTGTATGATCTTGTCAAAATGTAGCCAACTACTACACATAACTATAATGCTCTAATGAAAAAGGGATGAAGCACTGATACATGCTACAGTTCAGATGAATATCAAAAACATTACACTAGCTGGTCACGGTGGCCCACGCCTGTAATCCCAGTGGCTCAGGAGGCTGAGGCAGGAGGATTGTGAGTTCAAAGCCAGCCTCAGCAACGGCGAGGTGCTAAGCAACTCAGTGAAACCCTGTCTCTAAATAAAATATTAAAAAGGGCTAGGGATGTGGCACAGTGGTCAAGTGCCCATCAGTTCAATCCCCAGTACCCACCCCACATACAAAAAAAAAATCATACTAAATTTAAAAAGTCAGATGCAAAAAGTCACATGTAATTCCATGTATACAAAACGTTCACTGTTAGAGTCTGTAAACAAGTCAAAATAACACCTGGCATTTTGCCAGGGGAATGTTAAAGTTCGTAAACAAGTCTGGATGGTGCCTGGCAAAATGCCAGAGGGAGTGGTTTGAAAAGTAACAAAAGCTAGCCATTAAGTGTGGAGATTCCTTATTGGTTGACTGATGTATCTAGTTTATGCTAATTAGATAAGCTGTGTGGAATGTATAAATACTGCTCCTGTCCTACAATAAACGGCTCCTACTCCTGCTGTATCAAGTACACAAGTTATTCGTCACCCCCCTGATTATTTTGCTGCAGCCGGACTGCGGCAGTTCACCATATGGACTGCATGGAGACAGAAAGCAGATTCTTGGTTTCCAGGGTCAACAGGGTGTGGCAAACAGGAATGAGTTTCTAGGGGCATCAAGACTCCTTTTGGAATAATAGAAGCATTTTGAAACTAGACAGAGATGATGGTTGCACAAGGTTGTGACACTTCTCAGCTGTACAGAGGAATTCACTCTGTTATGTGTATTTTTCAATATTTTGTTTTAGTTGTAGTTGGACACAGTATCTTTATTTTATTTTCATGTGGTGCTGAGGATCGAACCCAGGGCCTCACATGTGCTAGGTGAGCGCTCTACCCCTGAGCCCCAGCCCCAGCCCCTGTTATGTGTATTTTTACCTCAATGAAAAGGGCAGAGATGATGAAATTGTGTAAAATAGCAAGACCCAACTATACACTGCCTACAGCAAAGGCCCTTTAGACAAGAAGACATAAATGGGTAGAATGGGGGAAGGAGACGCACCCTGTTAACAGCAGCTCCAAGAAAGCTCTAGTCGCCACCTCACAACAGAGGACGTGGGTGGGAGCTCCCAGGGTGCTGTGTGCAGTGGGATGTCTCTCAACAATTAAAGGGAACGAGCTATGGGTTCAAGAATGAATGACACTCAAAACACTCTGCAGAGTGAAAGAAGCCACACAAAACATACATACGCTATATAAAACTCAAAAAACTGGAAGCTAATCTGTAGAGACATCAGTGGTTCCTGGAGATATCAATGGCTGCTTGGAGATCATGGAAGAAGTGACAAAGGAGCACAAAGAAGCTGGTGGGTGACATCTGTATCCCTCCCTGTCTTGAAGGGTGATTCATTCACAGTCGTGTGTAGACAGGCCACACTCACTACATTTCACACTCGAAAGGTACACAATTTATCATCCATCCACCTTACCTTGATAAGGCTGTGAAGGTATTTTTCACAGTTGAAACTAGTCCAATAACTGGATTATTTGTTGACGAGAAGCTAAATTCAGCACTTCCCCCATCCCTCCAAATACTAACTGGCTATTGACAAAGTAACCAGACCCTAATCAACAGTGCACACCTCAATAAATCCCAAAGGTTAACAGATATTTTGTAAATACCATTAAGTTGACCCCATCCACCTGGAGCAGTGATTGACATCTTCAAGAATCTGGTGGTCTTCCAGATGTTGCCTAGACAACCTACCAACACACAACACACACACACACACACACACACACACACACACACATTGCAGTCGGGGTCTCCACTTTGCAGGCAAACATCACAGCAGTGGGAGGGCTGCCTTTGGCACAGGAAGATAAGGGTTCAAGTCCCAGCTCGGCCGCTTTCTTAGTGTGACCATTGGTGAGTCATTTTTCCCTTTCAGATCTCTTTCTCTTAAATATCTTCATGCCGTCTTGAGCATGAAACCACCTATGCATGGTAGACCAAGTTGCCAACAAGTTCATCGTTGTGGGTATAATCAACAACAACAGAGAGACCTCAGCTTGACGGGGTAGCCCTCCCCTCTGCAGAAAGGATGTACTAAAGATGGTTGGCACCTTGAGCATTGCTTTCCACAAGTCCATGGCGGGAAAGGAGCACGGCTGGTTGTGGAGGCTGGAGGAACAGGACAGACGTTTTGCTGTGGACATGAGGCCCCAGCAGCTGCTCCACAGAGGGTGCTCTGGAAAGACAGGTGGGATCAAGGGACACTGGGATCCTGCCAGCAGTTCCGGGTGTGGTCACCACTTTGCCTTGAGACCAGCTCTGCTGAGCACTTTGACCAAAGCCCTCTGCACCTCCCGGTTCCTCAGACTGTAGATAAGGGGGTTGAGAGTCGGGGTGACCAGACTGTAGAAGAGGGAGACCACGTTGTCCTGCTGGGGGCTGTGGTAGGCACCAGGCACCATGTACATGAACACCGCAGCTCCATAGAAGAGGCCCACGACCGTGAGGTGCGAGGAGCAGGTGGCCAAGGCCTTGCCTCGGGCCTCCTCCGAGCGCATGAGCAGAACAGCCCGCAACACGTGGCCATAGGAGGCGGCAATGAGGGCAAGCGGCAGCACCAGGATCAGCACTCCCGAGGTGGACAGCGCCCGCTCATAGGCCGAGGTGTCCGCACAGGAGAGCTTCAGCAGGGCTGGCACCTCGCAGAAGAAGTGGTCCACGGTGCGGGAGGCACAGTAGGGGAAGTGCAGGGTGATGGAGGTCTGGGTGCAAGCGTTGAGTACCCCTGCCAGCCAGGAGGAGCCCACCATGAGCAGGCACACCTGGCGTCTCATGAGCACAGGGTACTGCAGGGGGTGGCACACAGCGACGTACCTGTCGTATGACATGAGGGCCAGCAGGACGCCCTCGGCCACACCCATCAGTGTCAGGAAGAATATTTGAGCTGCACAACCTCCAAAGGAGATGGAACCTTCCCCCCGCAGGAAGTCTGAGGCCATCTTGGGGACAGTGACCAGGGGGAAACCCACATCAAAGAGGGAGAGCTGGCTGAGCAGGAAGTACATGGGTGTGTGGAGTCGGGCGTCCAGGCGAATCAAGAACAGCAGAATGGTGTTTCCCAGAAGACCCAAGGTAAACATGGCGGCCACCAGGGAGAAGAGGACATTGTGTGGCCCTGAGCCACTGAAAAGGTTCACCAGAAAGAAGCCGGAGGCTACCGACTGATTCATATCCCTCATGCTCTTCACAGCATACTTTAGCTGCAAGAAGAACGAGAGACCTATGGCAAGAAGCCTCAGAGAGGGTGGCAAATGACTTCAACCCACATGGTCACTGCCATTGGATGGCAGCGACTGCCCAGGATACTGTCCCAAGAGCCGTGAGGCCACAGGGAGAATCAGTACATAGGGGTGAGCTTTGGTCAGCGAGTGGTGTCTGTCACAGGCACAGGCTGGGAGAGGGGCAACTTGCGTCTCTGAATGAAACAGCTGGCCACACTCCAACTGAGAGCTCCCCAGTGATCCTTGTCATTGAGGTTCTGAGGTCCACATTAAAGTCAGAAACAAAACCTGGGTGGAATGTTCAATGCCCTTCATTCCAGGAGTCCTGGAGCCAGAGTAAAGGGGAGATTCCAAGAGAGTTGGGAGACAAAGAAAAGCGGAAGCAACAAGTAGCAAGAAAACCAAGAGAAGGGTCCAGATGCCTGGTGAGACTATGGAGCGAGGAAAACTCTATCAGGACCCATCACACAGTCAACCTGCCCCTGTGACTCTACAAAGTGCAAACCAGACAGGCACTGTGACAGCAGCTCATGGGTGGCAGGAAGGACAGTGGCCAATGAGCTTGGCTATTTTTAATGGCTTCATTGCTTTGGATGGTAGAGTAGTGGCTCACAGTCAGTCTGAATCAACTTCAAGGACCCTGTGAGACACCAGCCCTTTGAAGATTTTATGTCTCTTAATAAGTATCACATGGGAGAATGAAGTGGACAAGAAAGTTCACCAAGGACCAGCAAGAACTGCACACTCAAACTGGAAATTCACCATCTCCTCAGCAAGCTGCAAGCTCCCAGACACGCTCACGTTGTCCGGGAATCCCACGTGCCTCCTACAGCTCCAATGATGGTCGCACAGCACAGGAGGCACGGGAGCTGAGTTTGGAAGGTCAAGTAGTTTCCCAGGAAGTTGGAGGAGGGAAGTTTGTTCCAAGAAAAAGGAATAAAGCACATGGGCTGATGGTTAAGGAAAAGCCCCCGGCAGGAAAGCTAGACACCCTGGATTAGCACACAACCTCAAGGTCTCGCTCCATATCCATCTCTTCACCCAGAAAGTGAAGGTTAAGTCAAAGGATGATGCTAAGAGTTCACTGCCTGTCACATGGCAAGTGCCCGATACATCGAAAACATCACTAATTCTCTGGAGGAGAAAGACATTAAAGATGACTGGCTGAGCAATCCCACCGCTGGGTGCAGCCAAGGGAAGTAAAAGGCGCATGTCGGGGAGACATCTGCACCCTCAGGCATTACTGCAGCACGGTCATTAGCCAAGAAATGGAAGCAGCCGAGGGATCCTTCAACAGATGGATGGAAGAAGAAAATGTCTGTGAATACACAATGGAATATTATTCTACTGTTTAAAAAGAATGAGATTCTGTCATTAGCAGCAACATGGATGCAACTGGAAGACACTGTGTTAAGTGAATAAATCAGACCCAGAAAGACAAGTACCGTATACTCTGACTCGTGTTGTGGGAGTTACAACGTTGATCCCAGAGAGGTAGAGAATGGAATCATGGTTACCAGAGCCTGGGAAGGGAACAGGGATGGGGGATAAAGAGAGTTTGGTTAACGGGTAGAAGAATGCCTCCCGCCCATGTCCCCCTCTGTGGAATGGGTTGGCAGAAAAATAAAAGCTAAGAGAAATAAAATGGCAAAAAAAAAAAAAAAACACAGCACACAGAAAGTAATTTCAAAGAGTGGGGGCAGAACAGGCAAGCTGATCCGAAGGATCCAGCTTCTAGTCTCTGGCCAAAATGGAGCCCACGCCTGCTTTATTTATATCAGGAAACATTAGAGGTCTTCCATAGAATGTTCTTTACAAAAAAAAAAAAAAAAAAGATTAAAGGTGGTCTGTCCAGTTCCCAATGGGTTACGCCCATCTCCACAGCTTCTATAAGGGACCTTCCTGGCAGAGCAGAGATAAAGGTCATGTGCACTGGGCAACCTATTGCTGTGGGAGAGCCACGGATGGTACCCAAAGCCAAACCTAAATCTCCCTGGCTTCCATACTGAGAGAAAATCCCCCACGTAATTCACAGATGGCTTCCCATAAATGCCGATGGGTAGGAGAAAGAACTTGTAATGCTCGGTAGCAGGGTGGGATAACTAGGGTTGGCAACAATTAAATATTTCAAAATAACCAGTTAAAGAATGTTGAATGTTCCCAATACAAAGAAATTACATATGTCTGAGGTGATGGAGAATCCATTTATCCTGACCTGATTATTACCTATTATAAACATGTTGAAATATCACACTGTACCCCATAAAAATGTAGGATTACTCTATGTCCATTTAAAACATTTTAAGAATGGATTGTGAGCTGGACATGCCATGCTTAGCACAGTGCTGGGGACACAGGACATTCTCAGCCCCTGTTGGCTTTTGTTGCTGTGGTTCAACATGGTGTCCCCCTCCATGGTTAAGCCTGACCCTGGTCCAGTCATTCTCTTCAGTGCCATTCTGTGGTGTCCTTGTCCTTACTGAGTATCACCTCCCTGCCCTCCTGCAGCCTGTTGGCAGAGGCTTGAAAGTCCCAAGCTCCTCTGACTGACATTAGGGTTTTTCTACCTTGGCTCTATTGGCAATGGGTAATTCTTTTTGTGAGAACCTGTCCTGTGTATTGCAGAGTCTGAACAGCACCCCTGACCGCCTTCATGCACTAGATGCCAGAGGTACTCTCCCTCCCAAGTCATGACCACTACAATGATTCCAGACGTTGCCAAATGTTCCCCTGTGCAACAGTGAGAACCTCTGACACAAGCTTCAGCAGAGGTAGGTTTAGTGTGATTAATTTGCAGAGATTGAGGTCACTCATCAGTTCCTCTTCTAGAAGTTTACTTTTTGATTACATTAGGTTCTAACTGAGAATAATTCCTGGGAACACCTCACTATTCCCCATGCCTTTTTTTAGATATTATATTACAATATAACAACACGGAAAAGAAAAGCTGTACATGCTCAGTAGAAATGCAATTATTGTTGTTGTTATTGTTATTATTATTATTAGTCTGAAGTTTTTTGAATCTGTGGGTGTAGAACATGGATACAGAGGGCCAATTATAATCTGAGAAATTAAAATACCTTTCTGTAGATGTCCTTTTATGGCAAGAAATTCATGAAGATCAAGTTTGGTACAAAATGTGTACAGGAAGAAAAGATGATTACTCTGCCATATATTTCAAGTATTCACCCTTATCAGTGAATGCATGGGATTCATTGCCACCTGGATATAGCCCACTCTGGGAGACAATGTTACATTAGTGTTGCTCTTGCAACCCAAAATGTAGCCTGCTGCTCCTGACATCCCTGTAGCTGGTATACGTTCAATGTGAATCCAAGTTTATGTGCTATTGTACTGACCCGGCTGGCAATGATAGGGGCAGAGATACCTAGTGTTCCCCATAAGAAAGAGGGCAGCTTCTGCCTCATTAGCAAGTGTGTTATGTCTGAGATAGGATGGTTTGGGGACTAAATTAGAATAGGTAAGATTCTTTGTCCCTATAAAGACTAGTCCTGGCTAGATTCTTTTCTTATGGGAAATTCTTTATAATCCAATTTTCCTTTTTTGTGTGAAATTAAGGAGCAGAGAACCAAGAGTGGATGAATGTTAGCACACTTGGTAGTAAGACAGAAGCCGCTGTCTTTCCTACAGGGAACACTGGGTATCTCCATGTCGTTACACAGAAAAAATAACTATCCTTCCAATTGGCTGCCAACTTAGAGTGCAGTGGTTCCCTCCAGTATCTAATATCCCAACTGGTAAAGAGCATTCACAGCAGATTCCTGTCAAGGGCTGCTCTCCTCGGTGCCCTCACGTGTCTCCATTCTGAAAGGGTCGACACCAGTCGAGTGCGGGCTTGGCAGTGGCATCTGGAAGGTATTACCTGCTCAAGGTTTGAAGCCTCGTCGGATTCTGGAGATGATGGTGGTCGTGGATGCACATCCCCAGGCACCTAATGAATGCACCTAATGCCACTAACTGTAGTTTATAATGGCTACAGTGGTAAAAAATGTGCTATGTACAATGTATCACAATAAAAAACACTGCCTGTCAGTATCACTATTCATCTGTTTTTTTCTGGATGAGAAGATGGACTTCTCACTTTCATTTGGACTGGCACAAATGTAGTGACAAACTGTTTGTACAGTACTGACAAACTGTAGAGATTTGTCCAGTGTCACCCCGGCAAGGAAGTCATGGGACAGAATCAAGACTTGGACACAACAGGGATCTAACTCCAAAGTCTATTTTTCCATTAGCATTCTATGCACACCCCCAAGTGCTGCTAGATGTCTGGGATTTGCTTCACACACCGGCACAACACTGTGCCACCTTCCCACGGATGCACCTGATAAAATGAAAAGCCCTGGGTCTCAGGAGGATCCAGTCAGTCTCTCTAATCCAGTTGGATCCCTTTGTGTCCTGAGTTTTTTACATACTCTACACACCCCCAAAAAATACTTTTTTGGGGAAAAAAATGTTTGCACCTCTTCTACCTCACCAACACCTGCCCCCAAACAGGCAGAGCTGGAGAGAAGTTGGCCTCTCACTTTCATCTGGACTGGCACAGCTCACAGCAAATCCTAAGTCCACCCTCACTCAGGTAGAGAAGTCCCTTTGGCGAGGTTTAGGGTCGTGGTTTGACCTCCCCTCTCCCATTTTCCCCCTGGATGGAAGGATCCTGTTTCTGGTCGCCTGCAGGATTGAGGGAAAGAAGCCACATGATTTATTTTCTTGTCCATAGAACTCACATCTCTCTCCTGTGACCAACCATGATCTAGACTCTTGGTCACCTGCCTAAACAAATGATGTCATGACAGTTTGCAGGACACTTCACTTATATTATTTAGGTAATTCTCACATTCAGTTACCACTACTTAAGGATCCATAGGGGAGCTTACTCAATAAACAGGAGTTGAGTGAATCTATTCTGCAAGGGAAATGACATTTCTGTTGGA